TTAGCTTTTTTAATTTTCAGTCTGAAATTTCTCTATTGGATTCTGAGCCAAGATTCATTTGCAATATTAAAGCACTTCATAATGTTTTTTCTTTTTGTAGGGATGAAGAAACTTTATGGAATGACCTGAGATTTTACAAATTTTTTTATACTAAAACCAACAAATTATTCAGAAAGGAGGATTTACTATAAAAATTCCCACTAGAGAAAAAACAATTATTGGAGTTTAAGCATCTGCTAATTTTGCTCAAGACTTTGGATTGTCTTTTATTTGTCCTGAAATTCTTTTTTCCTATAGATGCTGAAAAATCCCCTAGTACTTTATTTGGCACAAAAATAATCCCTCTATGCAATCCCCCAAACCCATTCTCAAAACTCAGAGCCTTAAATGGGTCTATGCCATCTGTTCTGCTTCACTTTGGCAGCTCTGACTTGACATCTGGCAGTTACAGAACTAAGTGTGAGCTTGTAATTAGAATTGGACAGAGATCTCAAGTTCCTTGTTTTAATAAACCTTCCCTGTGCTATGTGATGTTGCAGAGATGCTATCTGAATACTGGTATTCAACATGCTTGTATGTTTTTGATGACTCATCTAGAGTATGTAGAAAGAAGCAGCTTTATAGCAATGATTTTTGATTTACTTCTTTCAGTCCTAATTAGAGCATGTCTTAATGATGACACTGGAGTAATTTTTGTTGGCTTTGTAATCTTTCTCTGGATAAACAGGCTATATGACTTCTTCCATGGGGAGAGTTCTCAGCTAAGGGATAGCAGGATTAATCCCGGAGGAGGTACTGTGTTCATTCGTGGTACATAAAATGGTTGGGAGCCTCTAGAGGGCAAACCACAAAGAGTTTGGAGACTGCCAGTGTTATGAACTGTGAAATTAAACCCAGTTGCCAGTGGAGAAGGGAGGGGAGAGAAAAATAAGGACAGGCAGCAATTGATTCAGAGATGAAACTATCTGGTAGGAGGGTAAGCAAGGAGAACGTAGATGTAAGAGAGACCTGAGAACCAGTTAAGGAGTTCTTAATTTCCTCTTTTTTTCTATTGCTATCACTCTTTCTTCAATCAGGATTTCTGTTCTGAACACTTTCAGATATGCTCTTTTAATTCATTTGCCCTTGTTTTCCTTTGCTCCAGTAGTGGAAATCATTTGGGCAATATATCTTTCCTTCAGGGAAGAGACAGAAATTTGGCTTTTTACTTCAGTTAGCAGCTTGAGCCTGATTCTGCAGGGGATCTTGAGAGTGAACCTGAGCAGCTGAATTTGACTAAGAACATAGATTAATGTGCTTCTGCTGCCATTTAAACCCATGCTGTTCAAGAAAGTTAATAATTTCTAAGAAATTCTCCCCACTGCCTCATCCCTCACTCCTCATGTCCCTGTACTCCTCTTTAGTCAGTGACACTGAGTTTGTACCCTCTTAAAGGCAAGAAGATGATGTTTATTTTTCTCTGATTTGTATGATGTCACTTTTAGGAAAATGGTTCACTTTTTTTTGTAACAGCTTTTAATTTAATACAAACTTGGATTTGGTTATATCTATTACAGTCTGCTTGTATGTTCCTTATGCAGCTCTAAATTTGAAAGAGAGCCATCATCTTGACATTTTATTTGGGCTAGATTTTGAGTAAATGTAATTAGGCTTTGTCACGCTTTTTTAGACAGTCAACACAAAGTTATTTCTTTTCTCTTTGATATAAATAGCTCTTTTAGACTGGTTCTCTTTTAATTACTCTTGAAGATGTTCATATTTTTATAAGGCTGTAAATGTCAAGTCTGGATGAGTCAGACATAAAATATTAGAAAGCAAACTATCTCTTAATGTTCTCACTCTGTCCCAATCCTTGTGAAGTGCCAAGAACTTCCTTGTACGTGCTGAGGTCTCTCACAGCATTGAACACAGGGAGATCTGAAATTGCCTGGCACCTTTGAACACAATCCAAACAGGCTGCACTGACACCAAGTAGGCCTGATCTCCATACAAAAGATGCTATGACACTTCTTTGAAGAATTTAGTATCTTATTATGATTGATGTTCTCATTTTTTAAACACAGAGCCAAAGCGAGGTTGCATTTCGTGTATTCTTCCCGCATAACCTTTTTGGAGATAAAAATTAAATTAGCAAGAGCTACCTGTACAGAGAGGTGGCTGCATAGAGAGGGGTCAGTGGGAGGTACATGAAAAGAGAACTACAGAGCTGTGGAAGTGTGCTTAGATATGTGTACCAATATTAGCTCTGTTTGGTAATTTCTTCTCCCTCGCATCTCTGCCTTGAATTGCACTGTGGGATGTTAATCACAATTAATTTTAGTAGGAAGAAGAAGTGGACTAAGGGTCTGATTTTATGAACACTCTCAGTTTTCAATGCTTCAGTATTACAGTATTAAAGTCAGGAAGCAACCAGGACTTTTCACAAAATCTTTAATTCTTCTTTCATTGATTTCATTTTTTTTCCAAGCACCAAGAATCTTAAGATAGGTCTCCTTTTCCTCCTGTCACCTGACTCATGCTCTGCTGTGGATATATATAGGGAGAAAACCTGCAGAGCCATTCTTCTTCCCTAAGCACATGATGATAAAATCAATACTAACTCTCTCCTAGCTTCTCTAGAACCATTCTAGTGATTCTGGTTTTCTATGGAGAAAGAGCTTCAGCCTTATAAATTGCTGGTTTAGTAATTTTTGTTGCTTCTCCTCAAGATTTTCCTTTTGGTTTAGCAGGCAGTGAAAGGCTGGGAAGGTAGAAGTAAGCTGGAGTTCCTTTCTCAATGGAGGGAAAATAGCATTTCCTTCCATTTGCATCTGTCCTTTCACTCATCCCTGAAATATTTTTTTGGCTCCCCAACAACTTCAGAAGGTTGAGCTCATGCAAAGCAGAGAAAAGTGGAGTAGAGAAATCCAGATTAGTTTTAACCAAATTTATTTTGTAGCTACATGACTATTCATATCAGAGTTTAGATTTCAGCATTAACTTCCTCTCACTTTTTTCTGCTGCGGCTGCTTCTCTTCCATAAGCAGCATACTGAGATGTCTGGCTGGAGTTGTCTCTACCCTTTGGGCCTGTACTGAGGACATAATTGGCTTGCCAGCTGCAGTCTTTGCAAAGATTTCTGATCAGAAATCTTGTTAATATCTGTGCACCAGCACCTTTTACTTGCTGGTGTGACAGGAGTTTTTATGGCCCAACCTCTGTGGTAGAGTGGTAAAAAACTGGTCTGTGGGTTTAATGTGTTGACAGTTTTTCTAATATTCATGTGCCCATATTGAAAGAATAGATTGTTTGCCTTCTCCATGTTTCCTATGCAACTGTGCTTGTCTTTTGTTTTACCATTTTACAGTGCCAGCTCAGGTTTAAAATGCTGCTCACGGTAGCTCTTGCCAAGCATTATTTTTCAGGTGACAGCCATTCGATAGGTTTGCTTCACGCTGCAGCTTTTGCAGGTGTTCTAATATTCTGTCCAAGGTGACTCATGTTATATTGCAAATTGTCTTTCTCACTTTAGTATCCAAAGCATTTGCAGTTATTCTTTCTTTTTAGTAGACTTGGTATTGTGACTTACATTCTAATCCATGAGTTCAATTTTTTTCCATCAACATTAGTAAATTATCAGTTTGTCCAGAGCCATGGCTCCCACCAGTTTAGGTTTAATACTCAGCACCAGTTTACTGCTTCATTTTTTTTGTCAATCCTTCTATATGTATCTATTGTGAAGGTAATTTAACTAAGTTTTTTTGACTAGGAGATTCAGGATATGGTAAATGTATTTCAAAATGGTGATGTTTGTCACTTCAAATTACTGTGCAAGGTTTTAAAAGAAAGAAAGATAACCTGTCTTCAGAGTAACGGGTCTGAACGTGAATGGGAATCATAGAAAACTTCTAAAACATTTGAATGAACATTCTTTATACAGCTGTTAAAAGATTCAATAAAGGGAATGTGGTTGGTGTAAAAATTGGAGCTCACCTCACATTGTTGAACTGGTTGGGCACTCTGAGCCATTAGATGAAGACAAACTTCAGGAAATACTGGGATGATGGGCAAAATACCACTAACATTCAACAGAGCAGAGGTGGTACCAGAAAAACTTTTCTCCATGATGTTCAGTGCTTTCCAATACACTCCTCATTTTCAGTTGTTTGTATTTCTAGCTCAGAATAAGCCTTCTGGCTGAAGTGTTCAAGATTTTTTTCTTGTCTCAGCTTGTATTTTGAAAATTTTGGATTCAAAGGTTTCTGCATGGAAAAAAAATTAAGGCAGCAGAATTAAAAATAGATAGTATTTGTGATGTTGAAAGCTCCTGTTGTCTGTTTGATTTGATGTTTTTTGGTTTAACTACTTTGGTACCTTGCCTTATGTATATACACATTACATTTCATTTGGCCTCATGTTTGTTACTGTAAGATCTTGGCAGCCAGCCCTCCCCTTTTATAGGCTGGATTATACATCAGCAAACTGCCTCACATGAGGCTTAATCTTCTTTTCCAGTTTTTTAATGCATGCGTAAGAGACGAAATGGGCTCAGAAATGTTCCCTGTGAAATTTCATTTATGACTAACAAAAAACCCTGACAATTTATTTCTGTCTCATTTTCTAATTTCTAAGGAACTTTACTGACAACTATTCTGTTATTTGTGAGGCTCTGACATAAATTTTTCCTATACTTGCCAATGCATTTGTTTTGCAAGGGCTCAAATAGGAAGCAAGCTTGAAGACATTGATGCTATAGTCATTTACTGGGGGGCATGTAGAGCAGACTGATGTTTTGTAGTGCTAATTCTTGAACAAGATCTATGATAGTTAATGGAGGTTCAAATATCTTTTCAGACTACTGTATCTATCCAGTTATCTTTTTCATTCTTGTAGTCTCATACAAAATTTATTAATTTGTTTGATGAGACCTATATTCTGTAAAATTATTTTGGCTGTCAAAAATTATTATTCTGTATTTATTAATTGAATTTAATATCAACATTTCTTTTTTGTTCCCCTAGGTTTTTGGCAGGCTACCAAGCCTATAATTACCTGCCATTACTCTTGTTGAGTATCAGCAGAGCACCGGCATCCTTTCAGGCTTCTTGAATGTTCCTGCAATTCTGAAACCAGCAATATGCTCATCCAGAAGTTTTGAGGTGTAAATTACCAAGGGCTCAATTTTAAAAGTGTCTAAACTTCACAGGACTTTTTGAAATTTCCTATTACTAGTGCACTGTAAATCAAACTTTAAATCACTTCACAGAAAGACAGAACATTCTGAGTTGAAAGGGACCCACGTGGATCTTTGAAGTTCAACTCCTGGCCCTGCACAGGACATACCAAGAGTCCCACTGTGTGCCTGAGAGCATAGTCCAAATGCTTCTTTAACACTGTCAAGTGCTGAGACCCCTTCCCTGGGGAGCCTTTTCCAGTGCCCAACCACCCTTTGGGTGAAGAACCTCTTCACAATATCCAACCTAAACCTTGAGTAGTGTCACTGGTCAGCACAGAGAAAAGATCAGTGCCTTCCCTCCTAAGGCAGTTGTAGATTGCAATGAGGCCTCTCCTCACTCTTCTCCAGGCTGAACAGTGACCAAGTGACCTCAGCCACTCCTCAAACAGCTTCCCCTCTAGGCCCTTCAGCATCTTCATTGCCCTCCTTTGGACACTCTCTAAAACCTCTCAATGTTAATGTCCTTTTAACATAGCAGTGACTGAAACTGCCCCCAGCCCTGGAGGTGAGGCTGCCCCAGAGCAGAGCAGAGCAGGACAATCCCCTCCCTTGCCTGGCTGGTGATGCTGTGCCTGATGCACCCAGGGCAGGGCTGGCCCTCCTGGCTGCCAGGGTACTGCTGGCTCACGTTCCACTTGTCAGTGACCAGGATCCTTGGTCCCTTTCCACAGCACTGCTTTCCAGCATCTCATTCCCCTGAGTCTCTGTACATTCAGGATCTTCTTTGTAATACCTAATTCTGTGTTATTTTTAAGCACATATCATAAAGCTAAGAAAAGCTTTTCAACTTTATAGTGAATATCAAAATCCACCGGTGAGACTATGCCACTATTACAATATATTTTGCTCTAAGTATACCTTAAAAGCTTTCATTCTCATTTGCTTTACCTTTACTACCTATGAGTTTTCCCAGAGATAAACTTCCCTAAATAAACATTTTACTCCTTTTTCATTTGGTATATCAATATATATATAATTTAAAATATTTTTTAATCTCCTGTCTTCTTTGAGTATCTCTCTTTAGCAGCTACTTACACATAGCCGTAACTTTGCTTGGTTCTTCTCCTTCAAAATAATGGTCTTTAGATTTAGAAAATTAGCTTTATTGAAGAATATAGTTTGCATTGGAATGGAGATCTGTCTTCTTTTAAGAAATTTAGGTTATATTGTAGTTATTGATTCTTAGATATCCACAAATTTCGGTCCAGCAATTAATTTTTTATGTATTGTGTGATTCTGTAATTGCATCATCACTGGTGCAATGCCATTTGCATTAGAAAATTATCATCTGTATTATTTAGCTAAAACAGTTTCAGATTTTGAATTCAATAATGGAATAGGCTTAAATTAGTAATGCAAAGTAGTTTTGCTATAAAAAACACAGGCTGGAGAAACTGGTTTTATGCCATGAATCCTTGCCAGATTTTGATGTAACAAACTGAACATAATTTAAAATTATGCCTAAAAGGTTTTTTATTGTGTTTTGAAAATAAGATTTATATGTTTTATTATTGTCAATTAAAATTATGTGAAAGCAACTGTGTATAATTGTTTTTGGAGGGTGTCACAAAGGGGAAAACCATGTAAATATCATAGGAGACATTATGTTAAAAGTATGTTAAAAAGATTTTATTTGTGCATGGTTACCATAACAACCAGATGCATGTATGAAGCTTTTTAATTCACTTAGCTGAGGTGCATCGTGTTCATTGTTTGCCACCTCTGCCTATTGCCTCATCCCAGGTCCTACCCAACTGCTGTTGGCAGTCTATGAAGCCAAGAGAAGTGAGGGTGACAAGAGGTTACTGCCAGCTCCCTGAGGGGTGGTGCTGGCATTGTGGATGGACACCGATTTGTCAGGCACTGCCTGTACGGGTGGGTTTATTGAAGCACGGGATGTCTCTGCAGAATGGGAATGTTTGACAGCACACCAATGCTTTCATGACCCCAGCCACTGTAATATGCTTTGTGTCTTAATTATGTACAAAGTAAACTGTGAAATAAGCTATAATTTAATCTTAGTTTTGTATGTAATTGAAGCAAAATTTGTAATGGCAGAGTCTAAAAATTATGTAGGCAGAGCGGGTTGCCCATTTCTAATAAGATTTATGGTTCAGATGGGGTATTCCAAAAGGAAACTTATTTGTAATAACAAATCTCCTAAATTTACTAAACTTAATAGATGTTGCAAATAATTATAGATTGCATTGGTATGAAATATATCCTCTATATCAAATACCTTCAAAACAAGTAATTCAATTCTGCTTCTTCAGTGCCTGGTTTTGTTCCTTTTTTCTCCTATGGGATTGTTATTATTTGTCATTGGGGTCCTCTGCTTAATACACAGTGAATATTAGATTGAATCGAAATACTTGTGTAGTGAAGAGGTATTCAAGACTCAATGAAATGTTTATTGAAAACTAAGAATTGTTAGGCAACAACCTTAAATACTTTTTGTCTTCTGAACTTCTGTCCAGAGAAGTCATCAATGTAAGGATAAAAAACACTGCTGATTTTGTCTAGATCTCCTCCACAGATCTGGCTTAAACAGAAAGACTAAAGCCAACAATAGAAAAAGAATAGTAATAGGCTAAAGAAAAGACCACTTTTCACCTGAAACCTGGCGAAGATAAGAATCTCTCTGGAGTTACTTACATAAATTTCATTGGTGCTAGCAGCTTTAGAAAAGGGAGCCATATGCACAGATTTTGTTACAATTCTTTTTCTCATATAATTGATTTTAAATCAATATGGCAAGAATAAAATAACTTCTTAGGTAAGAATAAAATTTTTCTTGTCTATCACTTTTTGTGTTCTGGATGGAAAATACAAAGTTTGGTGGTATGCACTGCATCCTAGGGATTGATTTAAGAAAAGAACCCAGGAATGGTAAAAGCATGAAACCTAATTCCTACGTGAGTGAGCTTATGGAGAAAAGTAAAAATTTCAGTACCTTTGAAAGATATTCTGCGTGATTCGAAAGATATGCTACATGCCACATGCTAAATTGCAGTGGAATTTGGATTATTCCACAAAGCTTTGCTTTCTGTGAAGTCTGCTTCCTCCCCAGATTTAAAGAAAACAATAAAAAATGTATTGTACCTTAAAAATGTATATGAATAAAACAAATACTAAAAGGGATGTAATATATCCTCCTCTTCCTCCTCCTCCCCCCACCTTTATACCTTCTACATTGAATCTACATTTTCTTCCCCAAAGTGTCACCCATCTGCTGGGTTTGGAAAACCTGTCTGAATTCAAGAGCTCTCATTGCACAAGAAGTAATGTTATAAACTTGAGCCCCTTCTGGTAAGTGTGGGAAAGTTGGTGAAGCCCACAAGTATTTCCTTATGAGTAAGAAAATTTTTTCTAAATTATAGTAATGAAATATTTTGTTAACACAAAGAAGAAAGAATCATAAAGTTAGAGAAAACTGCAGGAGCAGAGTATATACCTGTAGATAACAAATAGAGCAGCTCCTTTTTCAATAGTGTTATCAGAAGTCCACCCTCTCCTTTTTCATCACAGGGTAGATGAACCCCACAAAAAACACTCCCCCAGCTTCATGTCCTTCTCTCTTGGACCAAAGGGTAGGAGCAGATTAGGTACCTCAGTGTTTGCCTGTCACCTGGTCTGAAGGAGGTTTTATCTCAGCCTCATAAAAAGGGGCAAATATTTGTCATTACAGCTATGGGAAAACAGGGTACATACTGAGATTCCATGTAAAGGAATGGTTCCATTTCTGAGTGTGTTGCATTGTAGGAGAAGTACAGAGGTCCTCCCGCTCTGATTGTGCCCTGGCCTTTGGCAGAAGGGGAGGGAGCACACTGCCCATTTAGATCTGTTGTTCAGAACATCATATTCTACATATCTACTATTCTTCATATTCTATATATTCTACTGTCCTGGAAGTTTTGCTTTTGGCACAAATCCTGGTCTCTCCTTCCTTTGTTAAATCAAGGATGTTTCAGATGGCAGCTGCTCCCACCTGTCAAAAACTATCCCATATGTATACCTAGGGAAAGCCGGGGGTTATCCATGCTGCCAAAGCCTGGCATGAAAGATCCTGGGCTATTGTTCTTATTGTAAAAGAACCTGCCTAAGCTTCTCCAGGCAATTTTAAAAAGCATTTCAATCAGCCTCCTGCTTTAAATTGCCCTCCAGTTCTATACAAGGATCGGAAGGAGTTTAATGCAAGGAAATATTGAAACTTATTGCATCCCATTGTTAGGTAATTATCAAATGATTTTCACTGGTAGTCCTGACTTCAAAGAGCCATTCTCACTATACAACTGGTGTCACAGAAATAGGGCTTTGTAATCTTGCAGACCTTTTCCTCCCAGATAAATTAGTACTTTATATTATTGAGTTGGGCATTTAAAATCCTTTGAGCTTGTTTTTTCTTCTGTTTTTTATTTTTTGAGTTGGCTTTTGAATTCCTTTTATTTGAGTGAAATAAGCTGAAAAGGAATATTTTAAATTGAATATTCTGATGCAATTTTCATTAAAGCTCTATTCTTGGAGGCATTACCTTAAAAGAGGTTGTAAACATTGTAAACATGGCTCAGAATTAGCATAACTGAAGTGGGAGTAATTTTTCATTTTTATCACTCTCTGCCATGCTTCACTTACCTACTTAGTGCAGTCTGTTCTGTGCAGCCTTGATAGATGAAGCAACATACTTGTAAATAACAGATATATTTATATTGCTACTTCATCAGGAAAGAAACACATCATTTGCACAGCCATGTATCCATAGCAGCTGTAAGACTCTCAGATCAGTTTTTCAGTTTTATATTTTTACAACATGATGGAAAATAACAGAGCTACAAAATTACATCAAAGTTAATTTTACTGTCAACTTTTCTGCTTTTTTTAATGGTCTCTATTAAAACGATTTTCACATTCTTCACAACAAAGGGGGAAACCTTGGTTATGACAGAGTTTAAATTCAGCTCTTAACTTTGCCTTTTAGGCTCATCAAGGTGCACTTACATGTTAGTGACCTCTGTCACTTGTCTTAAGAGAAATCTAGAGGTCAGTCCATCAGAAAACCTAGATCCACCTGAAAGGGCTGTGTGAATATTGTAGTTTACAAAAATTCAGAATAATACACTGCACTCTGAAATATCAGAGCTACCTTTCAGGGACATTAAACTTTGTGGTTTTGTTGGCTGCTAAAAAATGCAAAACTGTTGATTGAAACATTGACCTATTAAGCAATTCATAAGTAACTGCAAAATATTATACAAAATTCTAGCTTTCTCTAAGTTATTAATTAGGAGGTGAAAAACCACAAGAGAAACATTAATATTGAAACATTCATATGTGCAATTTCATATTTAACAGATTTTTAACTAAGGAAGCTGACTGAGAGAAGGAAAAGTAAATTTTTTCTAGTGTGAAAGAAGACTTGTATTATATTGATAATTTTTTCGAAACACAACTTTTGGGAATTAAGATTACAAAATCAGATTTTTCTTGCATGCAGTTCACAGGCAGCAGATTTTGAAATCGTCAAAGGAGTTTGCTGGTTTCATGAAATCATCAACTGAAATTTATAAGCAAGTTTTTCCTCTGTGTACTTACAAACAAGTGGTCATTTTTCAGATTAGAAAGAGAAGGAAAATCTAAATTCTCCATTGCCAATCATGAAGGTCTTGGTTCTTTTAGAGGGAATTAGGAAAGACTGTCACACAGACAACTTTTCTTCAGAAGATGGCAGTGATATGCAAGAGGTAATTTCAGTGGACATTTTGTGCTCCCATACTGTTGGAATTTCTGTCTTAAAAGGGAGCCTATTACTACTCATTCATTTAAGAATCTGCAAGAGGTTGAGGGGTCTGCCTGTTGGTTTTTTCCCCTTCATTTGAAGTCAAATCCATTTCTTTTCCAGATGAAAGGTTATAGATAAGAATGATTTGATTATTTGATTCTACAGAGCAGTTGGTGTCCTCAGAGGTTTCAGAGATTTTTGCTTCTGCAGTAACAAGTGTGAAATTTGCATTTTATTATCAGATTTCAACGGAAGGTCTCTGGACATAAAGGTCAATTTGTTGATCTCAAGGGTGTGTCCAATTTCTGTCTGGATCAAGAGCTTGGTGTGAGGTGAATCTTCTCATTCCCGATTTCTGCTTTGGTTTGCACTTTGAAGCAGTTCTAGTTGATCTTTTCAGTATCCTTTTTGGCTTTCTTTTGGATGAAACTAATCTGGAAGATGTGGTCAAGATGTAGCTTCAGATACAAATTGTCATTCAGGCAGGCCACACTAGAGTTCTCCCAAAGTTTAAAAAGCAAACCCCACCATGCTGGAATGAGTGTCTTGTGGACATTAAATCCTTATCACCAACTGTTTGGCATTACAGGTCTCCTCTGATTTGTCTGCATTAGTTTCTACTGGATGTATCCCTCATGAGACTGAACAATGCTTGCACTATTGAAAGTAATATCCTGACAATCCAGTCACATCTTATTACAAGCAGATTCCAGAGCAATGTGTACTTGCAAAAATTTAATTGCATACTTGTATTAAAACACAGTTGTATTTGCACTGTAATATAAAAGAAATGAAGAATGCATGTGGTTGGTATTTTATTATTTAAAAGGAGTATGGTAATATAGTCATTAATATATTTTTATGCATCACTCACTGTAGAAATTTAAATTAGTAGTTCACTATGATGAGTTTTAAGGTAACATTTCTTATTAAAAATGGAGCATCTGAAAGTTTAGGTTCACAAAGGGTTTATAATTAAGCCATGAAAATTAATTTAGCCATGTAAAACGGATTGCTAATTAGTTTGCTAATAGGTCTGTCACTTCCAAACTCATTGCAGAAGGTGAATATTAAGTTAGATTGTCTCTGGAGGTTTCAGGGAAGTTTATGACATTCCTTGTAAAAGGCATTACTGTCCACATTTTTCTTGTGAAGAGAACTTGTCTTTCCTGCCAAACATTTAAGGAATATTATTGAGAATAATGATGATTTTTCTTCTGCTTTGTCTGCTTTTTGGAATAATTTCCTGGGTAACTGATTTTTTTTTTCCCTATGTGGCACTGATGACCACAAATATTAGAACAAAATGGAAGTGACTGAAAATCCTATCTAAATGCTGGAATGACCTTAC